TCACGCCCTGCGGGGACGCAAGAACACGGGGGGGGGGGGGGGGTGAGTCAGCAAAAAATCACGCATAAGCATGAAAGTCCCTTCTACCACTATGCTCAGTTTCCCCACCCCTTTGGCCATTACTTACAGCAACAGAAAATAAAGTCGGATACTTTTGGACAGCAGTGTATACACATTTTGTGACTGTCATTTATTAAAGTACAATGAAACCTCACTAATTAAAAAAATGTGATAATTTGGACATTTTTTTTGTGCATTATGACCTTGATGACCACAGTGTCGCAACCAGCAAAATATAGTAAAAATACAGTACAAAAGAGGAACACAAACCAAAATAAGTTAATATTTTTAGGCACAATCTCAGTAATACTAAGAAATCTTTGTAGAGTGAATCCTGTTGCATGATCAAACTAATTTAATTGCCGTATTTCGTCTGTGCAACTCTAAGAATGTATACCCATTCAGCTGTTTATTAATAATCACTGCATGTTTTGACTATCCAAATTTGTCATCAGGTGGTACAGTACTTGCAAGTGTTTTTGAATTGCAACCATTTTAACTGACATATGGGCCCATATTTACAATTGTTTTGTCTGCTATCTGTGCTGAATTCATGCTAATCAACACCGAGCTAACATAAGGAAGAAGTGACTACACCCTTACAGTGCTTCTGACTCAGACTATATTTTACCTAATTTTACTTCAATATTATAGGATCAGTTTCATGTAATCTACATTATAATGTAGCTACTTCATTAGTTTATGATTTATATCAATCAGCCTAGTACAGATAGTAAACAGAAACGATTATAAACGTGGGCCCATATGTTAGTTAAAATGGTTACAATTCAAAAACACTTGTAATTATTGTATCAACTGATGAGGACCAGTTGGATGGTCAAAACATGTCGTGATTATTAATAAACAGCTGAATGGGTATACAATCTTAGAGTTGTGTAGACAGAACATGGCAGTTAGATTAATGCTAAGTACGTAGACTCCGTGGAATGTTTTTCAGAGTGATGTCAGAACTTACATTTTTACATTTTATGACAAATTATGATATGCAGTCTAAGTTTCAAAATAAAGTTGTATTGCCTAAAAAGAGATACAAAGTCCATTCTGTAGCTTCCCTGAACACATTTTTAGTAACACTCCAATGATTTGGATTGTCACTAATTTGGACAAGTGTTTGCTCCAGATTAGTCCGAATTAGTGAGGTCTCATTGTATATGCAGGATTCTGCCCACCATGTTTTGACTTCTGAACATAGTCGTCTGGAATATGAATTAATGCTGAGGAAAAATTGTTGATTGGCATGTAATTTAAAACCTATGTTGAAA